TGTACAAACTGATCAAACAGAGCTCACTAGGATGAGAAAGAGAGAACATTGACATCAATATGAGAGAGGAAAGGTGGTAAACATTTTAGTACGATATACACGGATAGCTCATCCCAAGCGGTACTGAAGATAAGATAGAAGCTTTGGAAATTCCCTGTCATTCACAAACGTGTTTCGCAGCCTTCAAATACCCACGTTTGCCGGTTAAGTAATTAACTGCTATATGGTATAGCACGTGAAACAGAACATTCTGCCTGCTCTTCAGCCTTCGTAGCATTACTCTTAAAGGCACTGGATTGGCAAAATGGACCCTAGATACATTTTGGTAACTCTGGTAGTAGACACCGCAAGTACACCGTAGTTAGTCCCACCCCCACCCTCATCCCTACGCTGAGCCCTGAAAATTCGCTCCAAGCTCCACCAGTGACACCCAATCAGTGGAAGTGGGCGGAGCTGGGGGAGTTTGAAGCACGCTTTCAGGATTCATCGCCTGAATTCGAGGGTGGGGTTGCGGCTACGGAGTAGTTGGAGGGGCACCTGCCTAACGCTACCAAAATCTGACAAGAGTCCATCTTGCGGAGCCACTGCCTTGAAAGACAGCGTCCAGGCAAATCTGAGCATATGGGTATCTCACATAAATAATAATTTCAGGGCCCTAACTAAGACGCTGCACAAGGGCAGCTCAGATGGTTGCACTACTGAGATTTCTACCCCGAAGCGGATCCCAGGATCGTATTTAGGACGAGTGCCTCAGCAACTTACCAGCTTCGCGTGAGTCCGCGCGAAAGCATGTAGCACGATGCAAGTCGTCCATTCTTACGATCCTGGGATCCGGTATGAAGGCGAATATCCAGCCGTTAGTGAATCATTCGCACTGCTGCTTGGGCAGTGTCTTAGTTAGGGCCCCGAAATTACTTTCCATATGAGATCTCCGTAGGGCAGATTTGCCTGGACGCAGCCAACAAGAGCGAAACTTGCGTGTATATACTCGTATTAACTCGAGAAATAAAAAGCTAATTTGGAAACTCTAGGTTCAAAAATATCGCAAACTTCTGTGAAAGATAACCTACGAGAATTCATCATCACCAAATGCGTTGTCTCGGCAGTGAGTTCCTCACTGTAATGCACGTTCGGGAACAAAGCCAAAAATTCTTGCAGAAGCTTCTGAAAGTTCATTTAGTCACAGCCGAAACAGTGTACCCAATATGGAAATCACCTCGTCTTCTATGCAGCTCATGCGCGAAACACTTATAAACATTGGAGATGCTACTTCATCTGCTGTATCGGTAAGACCTGGTTTGCATGCTTCAAGTTCTGAACAAATATGATTTGAATTATCACAAACAATTCACTGGTGAGGATAGAATACGCTATACGAACCTACTGGAAAAGACTCGAAATTCCCTTGGAGTGTGATGTTCATTTCATCTTCATCGTCATCGTCCGTTGAAGACTGTGGTACAACACCGCTCGATGACCTTGAACAAGATGGCGACATCTGCTCCACTTGAAGCTAAATTGAAAAAAATGCGCGTCAATTTTTACACCAAAGTGCGAAAAAATTTTACCGCAGTTTTTACTCGCTCTTTGGAGTCTGCTTCGAGAAATGGGCTAGGTTGTGTCTCACATAAATCATCTTCGCAGACGTC